CTTAGTTTTACCAGAAGGTCACCTGACCAGCCGACATTTCAGCAGTTTTTTTTTAGCATGCATGTTTAGTGTATTTGTGTAAATTTAAAAAAAAAATTGAGCTATCCAGCAGAGTTGCAACAAAATCAGTGCCAGAAATGTAGACACATGAAGTTCATTGACATTGTCAACGTCAGTATTGTGCATGTACTGGGCGAGATTGGTGGCTTTTATTGCACAATCTCTCGACAACTCCACCGGCCAGTCACCTCTCCTTGCTAACTTGTTGTACGGGCATGACTGGCATGGCAAATGAACACCCGCAGTGAGTGTTTTTGGATACGTAAACATTTCATCTGGTTCCATGCTGATACACTGACGTTGTAAATTTCATGAGGTGCAGTTTGGGGCTTTTCCCTTTGACAAATCCTCCTGTGCCAGAGCCGCGATGCTGGCTAAATATACTTTGGATGAAAAGCTGGAATGGTGCAAGCTAACCATGAAGTGTATGCGTTCATTGTTACATGAAAGTAGCCCCATAAATGTGGTTAAAATTCTGCATTTTAGAGGTATTCTAGAATGTTTACACATACATGTAGTATTTGAGTGACAGTTAATAGGCTTGTATGAAGTTTAATATTGATATGCCTTTCTGTTTTGTTCACAGGGAAAGTGCCACACAGACATCTGTTTTCACCACAGCGATCCCCGTTAGCCCTATCTGTACATACTTTGTGCAGAGAGTATGGATGTTGTATAGTCTCATTCCAGCAGTAAGATTGTTGTTTTACCTGTTTGGTTTCTAACATCCATTATGTCTGTTCCACTGGTTTGTGCTGCTAGTTATTTTGCCAAATCTCAGCATACCAGCATAGATTTGGAGATACATATGTGTAAAGCAAACTTGATATCATGGAATATTATCAGGGAGACTTACTTGAACTGCTTATGAATTTGCATCGAAATATTTATAACTTATAACGCACAAATTTGTCTTTGTTTTTTATATTTATGCCAAAGAAACTGGTCTATAATTAGCATCTTTCAGGATCTAAATTCTATTTATTTGACATACGATTCTGAGAAAGGAGAGGAAGCTAGAGGAGTAGAAGTGTTTAAGATGCAGTTTCTGATCCTCAAGCTTTTGCAGTCACTAAAAGACTCTTCCAAAATTGTCCAGGAGCCTCGATTGGTTTGAGATTTTAGCAGGTATGGCCAGAATTGCACTGACTTGAGTCGACTTGAGACACACTTTTGGTGACTCAACATGACCCGAGTCCCACTGGGTAAATGACTCGACTCGAGTGTCCACAAGCAAAATGATGTGCCCGCCTGACGATGACACTTTTTTTATTCAGGTTGCTGTCTTGGCTCTGTTTTGTTTCTTGGAGAAACGAGTGCACCTATGGCAGTCATGTTGCCAAGGCCGACCAGGTGTTGCATTGTAAGTTGACCTCTACTGGACTTGAAGTTAATGGTCAGATAGTACACAGATCCAATTATTGATTGCTTCAAGTGGTGCAGTAAAGCTAGCCTCCTGAGGTGATCCATGGAGAATTCTATTTAAAATTTTCCCGTGGTGAATAAAGCCATTAGTATTTCTTGTATAGTACCTCACTCAGAGATTCTGTTCCATTTAAGCGATAACTGGTTAATTGGATCAAACTAAGAAATTTGTTGAAAATTTACTAGGACTTTTCCAAACTACCCGTTCACAAAATGTTTGATCCCGGCTCTGCACACAATGCCTGTGGTCATTTGTATAGTTCTGTGGTTGCTATGGGTACAGTATTTGGTTGCTATGGTAATACATGTAGTTCCATTTGCCACTCACGACAAGGTAGCTAAAATAGTGAATGCCATGTGTGACAGGTTCGCAGCCAATCAAGATACAAAATCTGAAGTTGAGGTGTTGTAAATAATATCGTCCCTGTAATTCATTTAACTCACAATAAAGGATTGTTTAGGAGGATATCTTTCTCATGTCCAAATCTGAACAGGGTTATATTGCATAAATGTTTCTCTAGGGGGCATTGCAGCCCAACGCCACATCAGTTTTCTGACTGAAGATCTTTCCATTAATATATACATGTATTTGGGTGCATGGTAAGTTCTAGGAGACAGCATGCATGTTCTCTGATTGGTTTGGGTAATGCTGGTAATTAATCATATCATGTGCATCACAAACTGGTATGATTGCCCCTTGTTAGGAGCTGTTTGTGTACACAGAGATGATATAGGCTATTCTGCTTCAAAGTCATGCTGTTTTAGTTTCCCAAGCACATGCTCAGTATTGCAGATGCCAGTGCCTGTATCTTGGTTGTGTTGTTAGACAGAAGCACACTCTGCTCTTTGTCAAATAATTGTGGTATAAAAACCATGACTGATCCTCTTTAAAGGCCAATCAGTCAGTGCAATGGGATCTGCTTTGGTTAGGTTGGATTCGACTTTTTAAGTTTCATTCTGGATAATTCCTTCAAAGTAGCCTCATTATAGATTTAGGATGAGAGCTGTTCGGAGATTTTAAGAACCGATGCATGGACATGAAAGCAGTTAGGGGGTCTTCCTCACCCTGTCATCTTTACATATAATCTCATTTTCCAGAGGACTGACTGGGAATGCAAACAATTGTCAACCTTTTTGTTTTAGGATAAAGTTAAGACACATGCCCACATTGTCCAGTACTGGCAGTTCTAGAATGGAGAGCTGATTATCCAGTAGATTTTCATATGGGGCACGCTTTTGGGGGCATTCAGCTCAAAAAAGGTCATCCCAGCCCTTCTCTTTTTCTCTTCAATGATATTGCAGGAAATCTTTTTGGAAAAACACCAAAAAAATGAAGAGAAATTTGTGTCATTGATGAATTTCATTTTGATCCCAGACTACTCCGACTGTTTTGCTTTATTTGCACTTGACCCTGTTTTTTCTCCCCTTGTTTCTCCACAGCCCGGTTAATCTAGTGGACAGCTACTCTGATCGCTGGTCCTTTGCGTTTGCCTTTGGCAGCATGGCGACCAGCATGGTAGATGGCATCTTTGGCAAGCAGAACATATTGCTCGGAAACTATGATTACGAAAAGCTTGCAGTCATGCTGCGAGGTCAGTGGTGAAGATTAAGCAGTTCATTGTGCACGTCTTAAATTCTTGGTTCCTCCTAGGATGAAAACCTAACCATTGAGTTGGATCTGGAATGATTGATCTCGACGTCCCCTGTTAGAGTTTGGCAGTTGAAAATAAGGAGAACATCTTATCTAAAACTGCAGGCACCTTGATGCCCACTATGGTGCACAAACTACCAGTCGTAGAATGTCGTAAGCACTAAGCCTTCGGGCCCCATCAAATTTGTTGTCGATATGTAATTGAGACTGTGACCCAAGCCTCGTAATATATTTCTGGCCTCAAATGACCAACTGATTATTGCTAAATAAATGCTATGTAAGAATACCATCCACTGCCAGAAACACTCTACTTACTATTAAAGTAGGCGATCTACCACTTTTTGGTTTTTCCTCATATGACAGATAAGGCAGTAGGTACAGATAAGTTATTGCCACTTTCTTAGAATGAGAGTGGTTGCAAGACAGTGCGAAAGTTGGCTATAATTTTCAGAAATCGGCCACTGCGATTTTGGGTTTGACAGATATGATTTGCATATTATTTGACTGTACTGACATTTGCATAATGCAGGGACCGTCAAATTTCTGGTTACCATAGTCAACGCACTCATCATCAGCGTGGCTTTCTACCCGATCCTGCTCTGCCTACGTTCCAAGACAACCCTGGGCAATATCCTTGGTTTGGTTTACTCCTCTTCCTGGTAGGATTCAAAATCAACTTCTCAACTTACTCTGAAGGCTGGGCCAATTACCCAAGTCAGCATTGTTGAGTGACTGGGCACAACCTGGTCACTCTTGAAATCATTCAAATGAATCTGTTTTTCAATCCTCCTTTTTTTTCTGGCCAACATTTTTCATTCGTAGCTGTCTCCTGGACTGTGCACAGTGTTGTAGTTGTCCAGACTGGTCTTGGCCTCGAGACCAGTCTGGACACCAGTTTGAACATGGTTTTGGTCTTGAACATGCTGGTCTTGGTCTCAGATCACTGGTCTTGGTCTTGATCTGGCGCCTCCTGTTCTCCGATTTTTTGGCTGAGACTAGTACAAGACCAATTTAATATACGCTTTGCACCATTTCATACCTGATTGGTGATGAATTTTGATTGTTTGTAGACCAACGAAAAACTTGAACCGATACCCCCAAGACGTAAGTACGTCCTTAAGGACTGTACGTGCAAGCATTTGTTGTGGCTACGGCTGGCAGTAGTGTTTCATGTGCAAATTTCATCCTTTGCACAAGTTACGTGTGCACCCAAAGTTAAAACTTGCACGGCCAAAGTTTAAAGCTTTAACGCTCGCAGTTAAACTTGTGTAAGCAAAGTTTAACCTTGCACCAGGAAGAAGATAGCGTGTGACAACCCCAAAATAATTGTCACTGGTTACCGGCTGTAAAAAAGACATGTGATTTGTTGTTTTCGGGGCACCTGTGAGCACGCAGTCGCATTGCGTGGTCTGGTAATACACGCTTATTTATGCACTGTTTGTTGATCTCAAACTTGACTAACACCATTCCGTGATAGCATTTTTGGCACAATGCATAAACATGGTGTGTCGCGTGCCTTTTCCTTGGTGGTGTGTAAGTTCGTTGATGTCATGACATTCAGAGCAGGTCAAAAAGTATACACATCATTGAAAAATGCAAATTGCAAAGTAACAACAAAAACAATGCTAAATTCCAGGACCATTCTGTTAAACTAACGCATACATGTAGCTCTGTGCTTTATAGCGATCTTCACAGTTTTATGTCAATGTACAGAGATGATTTCCTTCCATTTATTTATAAATGTGGTCTTGGTCTTGGTCTCAGATGGATGGTCTTGGTCTCCGTCTTGGTCCGTTGGTCTGGGTCTTGGTCCGTTGGTCTCGGTTGTGGTCTTGGTCTTGGACTGCCTGGTCTTGACTACAGCACTGACTACAGCACTGACTGTGTAAGATATTAATCCTGATTGCATGTGGTGCATATTTATCTGATATCATCATGACGTCTTCAGCGTCAAATTACAAGGAATTAAAGTTTGATATTTTTAATTTACAAAAATCAGTTTAAAATCTGTCGTGAGATTCTTCATCTTGCATTTTGTGGCAAGTGATATACTGAATTTAGGTATTTATATTTTTGTCATGTTTGTAAAATCAGAATCAAAACTTAAACAAGTTTTATTAAACCAACCCTTTCAGCAGCGTCATAGTCAAACCCATTTATACAAGTCCTTCCACAAGTCACAAGTAACAGGCTGACAAAGGAATGCTTTACGATTTATTTCCGACTTGGCTTATTAAAGACTGAATGACTTGTGATGGATTACAGGGACTTGTGATGAACTTGCTGGGACTTGTGATGGGCTCAACTACAAAAGTGACCTTCGGTGGATTAAAAATGTATCTAAGAGATTAGACCCATGTTGTAATATTCAACATTTTGTACAGCAAGGGAAATGCTGCAAACATTGTAATACACTCCTCCTTTTTTGGATTGTTTGATCCAAAATTCATAAATACCGGAGACAGTTTCCCTGTTCAACAACACGCAACGTCACTGTGTATTAACAGTTTAATAATGCCCGTCATGTGAAAAGTGCTCTGTCACCTGGATACGCAACAGTTTAATCCATGCCTATTGGTCAAGAGTCTGCATGTGACATGGCAAGTCAATAGGTATATGTGAATGGGAATCAATATGCTTGGCCTAACGGCTTAGGAGACTGAATGCCAATAATACCCAAGCTGCACATTAGTCACGCCATTCTCCTAAGCCATTCTTCAAGACTGGCCAAGCACATATTTATTCCCTTAATAAATTGAGCGGTTTCAACTAATCTGCGTTCAACGTATTGAATCAGACAAAAACACCTTGACCTTTGATGAATGTGTCATTTGGATGTTTTGAGATGTCATGATAACATCGTCAAACTGGATGGTTTTTATTACACCAATAGGCAAAATGTGATTGACATAAATATTGGTAGTTAGGGACAACTTATACTGAGGAAGACATGCATGAAGTGAGCTAAAGATGATGGCCTGCTTTCTAAATACAGAAATTTTGAATATTTGAATATTAAATTCTTGCAAAAGGTGCTTTGACATGGAGTAAAATAAACTTGCCCAGAGACGTCACAGGTTCGGTGGACTTGCAGCTTATATTTGTCCCAAGCAAATGACGTCACGGTGAATGTAGGAATTCACGAGAATGTAACCCACGCACCACCTGCTTGCAAATGAGGTGACATCACAGTAATAAGAAATACTATCTGGTTGCGGAGTTGGTTTAGATGAATCCCCCAAAGACTTGTAATATTTAATTGAAATTAAGGTTTGTTTAGTCAATAATTATTCCTCACACATGTTGGAGGTTTTCTCTGGTCCTAAAACCTCCAAAACTATTTAATGAAACAGTGGGATCAGGACTTCAAGCAAACTAAATCTTCATTGTTTTCATGTATCTCAAATTATTGCTCATAGGGATTTTAAGTTCTCGATAATGAATACAACCATGCAGGAATCGCGTGTGATCTGACAAACTTCTCAACCGTTGTGACCTTCCTTCATGCAGGTTTACGTTCTACATCATGTCGGTTGCTTTACGCTGTGACATTGAAGAAGATGATGGAGCAGTGTACGACATCATTAAGGTAAAGAGAACATTTAAAAAACCCTTTGAAAATTCAGAAATTCCAACGCTTTGCTTTGACGGGTTTTGATGGATCCAGTATTGTCGAGCCCTCTGTGTTGGCATCATTGGTTTGCCTGGAACTGAACATGTCAGGGTTTTTGGGGGGGATAGGAGAGGCTGCTTTAGCTTTAAAGCCTGGGCTTTGTACTATGTCACAGCTGGGTTGAGGGGGAATCCCCAATACCTCTTTTCGTCCCATGCTAAATTTTTTGTAATCTTGGCATGCATGTGAAGACACTCATCATGAGTACATTTGTGAAGTTTTAATGATGCCCATCTACAGTTCACGGCTTATGCACATAAGGGGGAACAAATCTCCGAAAAATGGGCATTTCATGAGAATGGTTTGCACAATTCTCTTAAAATTGATGTCAATATGATCGTAAGACATGACTGGAAAATCAGCTGAAGGCTCGGCACACAAAAATGCATTGCTATTGGATCATCGACCCCCCACCCGCACCCAGCTCCAGGTTCTCTCTCTGTTTTTGGTGCATCATTTGCGCCATTTTATGCCAGGAAAACTTCTAAGATTTTTTCAAGCTTAAGAAATATAGAACTGACCCAAATTCTGGGTACAAGAATATGATTTGCTTTGTGGGTTTTATATTTTGTGACCTTTGTTACTCACTTCCCCATTTGCTGTCAATCATTCCAGGAATTAGGAATCAATGGATCTGGGATGGTCTGCTTTCTAGCGCTGATGATTCGTTTCACTCTGGGCATCATACAAGACATAAGAAGGGTGAGTATTTTCGTACGAAGGAAGGGAATGGTTAGGAGGTGTAAGTTGAACCGTGAAAACAATCCTTGTTTTGTTTCTTCTGTGAATGACTGTTAAAGATGCTACTCAGTGATTGGGATCAAGATCTCTTGAGACCAATGCAAGACCAACACAAGACCCTCATCAGTCAAATTCAGGTCACAAGCTATTCAAATGAATTACAACAAAAGCATTCCTTTGTCATTGTTCATCCTGTTTCTTGTCACTGGTCTTGTCTATACCCAGCAAGAAATGAGACCGAGGGGTACCCCCCAACATGTCCAATCCCTATACACATTCCAGACTATTGTTACTTAGCACATCCCCCCCAAGATGTCTGAAAGGAATTCCCCAGATTCCTGCGAGACAATGACCAACACAAAGAAGGGGGGGTTCTCTCCATCTCATACCTTGCTGCATACGGTCTTGTCACTGGTCTGGTCACTGGTCTGGTCACTGGTCTTGTCACTGGTCATGTCACTGGCCTGGTCACTGGTCTGGTCACTGGTCTGGTCACTGGTCTTGTCACTGGTCTTGTGAATGGTCCCGACTGCAACGCCTGTTCTACTTGTGTTCTTTTAACTGGTGCAGAACCTGCCATATGTATGTAATAAATGAAATTTGTATTTTTTTTCCTACTCAAGCACCTGAGGAAAAGCAGCAATGCATCACTGGCGGAAAAGGACTTCAAGATGACGCATTTCTACAGGAGGGTGAAGTTTCTGTTGACACCACCACTTCCTGAAGAGTAAGTTAATTTTTCCTATGGAGTAACCTTGATAGCAATAGTGCAAAGTGCACGGAGAAAATAAAACCTCACTTTTCATCGCACCACTACCGAAGCTGCCTCAATCTTGTTAGTTTTATACATACATTTCTGTCCCCCCCGTCTCATTCCTTCTCATGCGTTAGATGTTGATCCCATGCAATGACTCACCTTTTCAGGCAAGCTTCCACGGTTGCTGATTTCTTGGTTTTCTTCACTTTTCATTCATAATATTGCGGAAATTTATATAACGGGTTTTGCCCTTACCCAACGTATATATTGAGAAACACTGTATGCTCAGTGCTTGTCTGAGAGCTTGTGAAAAAAATCCAAGAGCTTACTCGGGTTGGACTCGAACCCACGACCTCCTGCTTACTAGTGCAAACGTCTTAACCACTCGACCACCGAGTTTGCCAGGGTCGGCTGATTCAGGTGAAGCAGCGGGTACCGCAAATAGTTCGTATATACGTTTGGTAAGGTCAAGACCCGTTATATAAATTGACATCTCCCCAATGCAAAAAAAATACATCTTGAAAATATTGCGGAAGAGAGAAAATGCTGTGCAAGGTCTGGTACATCTGGGTATATTCTTTCTTGTTATTTTTTCCCCTGTTCTCTTTTAGTTATATGCGTGTAATTTTGCTCTCGTCTTAGTGTTAGCGTAAGCATGTGTTGCACCTTATCCAGCGCACCATCTTGATGCATTTAGACTGATCTGTGAGATGCCATTAGTGCAGTGGCGCCACGCTCACTCGCATATTTTTGAACTTGAGGTATGCATGTGTTTATGCAAGTCACAACACTCTACTTGTTGAAGAGGTATGTAACAGGTGCATACCACCTGTCCATGTGTATGGTGCCATTGCAGTAATGGCTTCTAATGGGAGACTTTGAGACCCTTGGTAGTGGCAAACATACCGGTCCTTGTTACCAGTTCTAAGCCTGCTTTTGTACTTTCAAGCATGCGCAATACGGTGATAAAAGGCCTGTGTGTCTGCTGCCACCAGCATCTCAAAGTCTCCCATCTGGCTTGCTGAATTAGTCCACGTGTTGCATAACCTGTTTACAATTTTAATGTGCTGCTTTTAAGGAAATTTATCACTTGTTCTCGGTTGCAGGGAAAGTAGAAATATTCTTGAGCGTCTATTCCGGTATGTGTTTGGCACCAGTGTACCAGGTGAGGTTTCACTCCATTTTTTGCATCCCAAGGGCAAATAGTAATTAATGCTGAAAAGTTTGCCTGCTTTCCAGTAAGAAACCAACACACAGAAAGTTGTTCAATGCCAGAAGCTCTCCAAAAAGAGTATGGAAAGTGACATGAGTGCAACTAATAACGTGTATACTTACCATTCAGTTCATTGAGACTCTTCAGCGGGCAGGTAGAAAGGTGAATGTGTTTGTGCTTCATTTGGAGGATTATGTCGCTTTAGGTGAACTTCCAACTGAAAATGAGTAAGACGCAAAAGTTGTCGGCATATTGAGATTTGTTTTTGCCTTTTTGCTAAGGTTTCAGATTCTCCCGCCACAGTATCTGCACTCTCGTTCTGACACTGATCACCACCATCCAGGTCAGTCAACCTCGTGAATATTTGATTCTTTTATGTCATGAAAAAAATTAATATTCCACATCAGGAAACAACTGCTTGAAAACCACTATTGTCAATACACTTATTACTGTGCATCCACAAAATCTCCAAGAGAATTTGGAGCTTGAATTATTGTTCAGGAGTACATAGGATTTTATCTGATTCAGGAAGGCTCTTTATCAAATACAGTGGAACACCACTATACCGACCACCGCTATACCGAATATTCAGCTG